CAGCCCCTGGATCCGGGACCGCGCCAGGTACACGTTGTTCTTCCACTCGGTCTTGAGGCGCCGGTACTGGGAGGACTTGGAGTGCACGAACTGTTTGCTGTAGGGGGTGTTGGTCTCCCCCGTGAAGGTGCTCTGGTAGGCCTTGGACATGCTGGTGCTGTTCAGGGTGTGGGGCCTGCCCAAAAAGGGGGGGGTGGGCAGAGATGAAGGATCCCCCCCCACAAAAAAAAGGATTCTGGCCCCTCCTGGAGGATTTTGGTCCTTGGAGGGGGCTCCTCCCTGGGTCCCAGCTCTCCTAGATCATCCTGATCCTTCTGGGAGATTCCAGGTCTCTTGGGGGATTCCCAGCTGCTCCTCCTAAAGGAATCCTAGGTCTCTTGGTGGATCCCAGATCCCCTAGATGACCCCAATCCTCCTGGAGGATCCCAGGTCTCTTGGAGGATCCCCAGGTCCCCTAGATGATCCCAACCCTCTTGGGGGAATCCTGAGTCTCCTGGGGGATTCCCAGATCCCCTAGATGGTCCCAACCCTCCTGGGGGGATCCCAGGTCTCTCAGGGGATTCCCAGCTCTCCCAGATGATCCTGATTCTTCTGGACAATCCCAGGTCTCTTGGGGGATTCCCAGCTCCTCCTGGGGGCACCCCAGCTCTTCTAGATGATCCCAGTCATCCCAGGGGATCCTGGCTTTTCTAGAGGATTCTGGCCTTCCTGGGGGATCCCAGATTCTCCTGGAGGATCCCACCCTCCTAGGGGATCCCGGCTTCTCCTGAGGAATCCCAACTCTCCTGGAGGATCCCGGCTTTCCTAGAGGATTCTGGCCCTCCCACCAGTATCCCAGCTTCTCCTGGAAGATCCTATTTCTCCTTGGGAGTATCCTTGCTTCTTCTGGGGGAGATCCTGGCTCTCTTGGAGGAGATCCTGGCTCCCCTGGGAGATCCTGGCTCCCCTGGGGGAGATCCTGGCTCCCCTGGGAGATCCTGGATCTCTTGGAGGAGATCCTGGCTCCCCTGGGAGATCCTGGCTCCCCTGGGAGATCCTGGCTCTCTTATCCTGCCTCTCCTGGGAGATCCTGGCTCTCCTGAGGGATCTCAGCTCTCCTGAGGGATCCCAGCCCCTCTTACCTCTTGTAGTGGGTGAGGATCTTGGGCTCGGCGCGGGCGCAGCCGGTGGGGTTGATCATCAGGGGCAGCTCCATCAGGGGGTGGCGGCCGTAGCGGAACAGGTAGTTCTGGCAGCTCTCCACG